CACTCTACTAGGACGCTGTTGAATCCTGGTGAGGGAAGGCTGCTGCTGCCCACTGACCATTGCAGCACCCAAGACCCAATTTCAGGTACTAGCCAAGTCCCTCCTTTCCAGTGATGAGGTAAACAGATATGAAGGTGGGTGTGTGGGGCCAGGCTGTGGTGATGGGCTCTTCCAGAAAGGCGCTCCCTGTTTTTGACTGATTTGAGCTATCTTTAATATTGCTTCTTGGGGTGGAGTGTGTAACTAGTGCATGTTACTTTGGGGAGAATGGAGGCACCTAACTTTAGGGTGACCTCTTTGGGTCAGATCTCTGCCATAGTTTTGGGTGCAAGTATGCAGAATTTTGAAGGCAGGGCAAGATTGTCTTCTCCGCCACATATTCCTCCTTTTTTTGATCCTTTCTTTGGTTAAATGAGTCCTCAGGCAGCTTCTGGAAAATACTCTGGGTCTAAAGTCACTTGCCATCCTGAGTAAGTACAATTGCAGTGTAAATTAGTGTACATGAGTCAGACGCCTTGTTGTTAATTTGGGACTCAAATGACTGTCTGCATTGTTTAAGGCTTTCCAGGCGTCTGTGTGGAGAGAGGAGAGGAGGAACTGGAGGGCAGGGGGAAATTCTGTAACCCTTAGATAAGGCCTAGGCTGTAGCCTCGGTCCCTGATCCCAGGGAGGACACATTGTAAAATGTCTTTAGTCCCTCTTCACCTTTATCAGAAGATCAGATGCTTTCAGACACAAATGAGTTGCTGGCAAAATTTTAGAAAATGAACTTCCCCTGTAATTAGCAACAAGTTTTTGCCCAACAACAGGTTTTTTTTACAAGTTGTACTACAAGGGTGCGGGCAGAGTTCGCAGGAGGTACCTGCACTAGAGGGGGCACGAAGGAGTGGGAGCTCTGGGTGGTTCTCTGGTGCTGAGGCAGCTCTGGCCCCGTGGACAGAAGCTGGCTTGTGTTACTGGACACTTCATCTGTGGGTTGTCAGTCTCGCAGTTGGCTCTGCTCTGATTGGCCAGAAGTCTGTGATCCCCTCAACCAAATGCCAAGCTTGTTGAAAGCCCCAGGATTGCAGGGCCGGTTCTGTGCTGCCCATTGATTAATAATGACCTCAGGCCAAAGCAGAGCAAGAGGGGGGAGGGCACACAACAAAGAGTTGGCAGTGCTTCCGAGCCCATAAAAATAGCATTGCTTCATGGTCTCTGAGTGGTGTCCGTAGTTAGCATGCTGGGCTGCTAACTGTAAGATTGGGGGTTTGAGCCCCCACACTGGGCCTTTCAGTAGAAAGGCCTGGCAGTCACCTTCTACTCAGTTCCACTCTGACTCACACGGAGTCACAATGGCCTGAAGTTGATTCAGCAGCAACTGGTAACCATGGTCTTCCAAGGAAACTGGCCCCTCAGAGGCGTGGTGGGCAAGGCCCACCCACCATGACAGTGTGACACATTGGCCCTGGAGTTGGTTTCTTAGGGCTCATCTCCTTTGTAGTGACACAGGCTCTTATGAAAATCAGCTTTTGTAATCTCTGACCTGGACACAGCTCACCCTGTGACCAGGGAACTTGGCATTGACCGAGAGCACTGCGACAGAGACAGAGAAAGCGGTCTAAAAACCATGACCTGAAAAAAAAAAAAAAGAAAGCGGTCTGGGCTCGGGATGTGCACCAGCGTTCTGAGCAGCTTCATAGGCCGTGTTTCTGTGTCGGGATTCACCACGCCGCCATGCAGGTTTGGCTTGCGGACGTTGCCTCCCTCATACCAGACTCTGAATCAGAGCTGATTTCCAGGACATCCAGCCAGCTGCTTGTATGTCCGTGTGTTGTCCCAGCCGGGACCTGGTTGAGTGACTGTGACTCTCGTCTTGTTATTGCTGTTGCTTCCCTGCCAAACTCCACCCAGCATTGAATCTCACTCCCATGTTTTAAGTATACACACAGCCCAGTGAGCTTCATCTGAGGACTCATGGGACATTAGCCCAGTCATTATCTTCCAAGATTATTTCTCTTGGAAGCTCCAAGGCCCTTTGTTGATAGCAGTCAGATGCAGGGACTGCTGGCAGAAGGAAAGCCCTCCCTTCTCCTTGCCCTCCCCCGGGCACCCTTCCCTGCTTGGCTATCTTTCAGTGCCCTCCTGTTTATTTTTCAGGTCTGGCACAACGTAGTTGCTATTGCAGTGTGTCCACCCCCATTTTCCCTCCCCCGGGATTAATTTCACCTTCCTTTTAGTTCCCATTACATTTTTTTAAAAAACCATTACAATGCTACTTTTTAAACAAGTGTGATTTATATGCATTAAAATACACTCCTTGACCAGTATGTACCTTCAGTTAACAATGTGCAGGCAAGTGCAAACAGCTAAGTATTTGCTGCTAACTGAAAGGTCGACAGTTCTAACCTACTCTGAGGTACCTCAGAAGACTGGCCTGGCTCCTGAAGGTCACAGTTTTGAAAACCTAAAAAAGTGGTTGTACTCTGACACATACAGAGCCTTAGTGAGAGCCAACTCAGCAGCTTCTAACAAGAGCAATACCACCATCACAATCAAAACACAGACTAGTTCCTTCACTCCAACCACCCCCTCCACCCTATGCCCCTTGTGGTCCACCTCTTCTCACGTTTGGCCCTGACAGCTGCAATTCTGATTTTTCTTTGAATAGTCCTAGCTTTGCAGGACTATCATATAAATGGAACTGTAGGCCTTTTAGGTCTGGTTTCTTGCCCCTAACATGAGGCATCTGTGGTTCGTGCTCTTTCTAGTCTGGGAACATTACTCATTGTCATTGTTGAGCACACACGGCATTGTGTCTGTGTCTCTGAATCGGGCCCTTGCCTGCTTCTGGAGATTGGCGTTTCTGCTGGTCCCCTCGGCCGACATAGCTGAGCTCCTCCAGGCCTGGGCTGCACCTTGTGGGCCTCTGTTTCTCCAGCCTGCCCATAGTCGGTCCTTGAGGAAGTGTAGGTGCTGGACAGCCACACCATACACAGGTGGGCCTTGATCCTTTCTACCTCACCAATGAGGTGCCTGCCCTGGTGACAGAGACCTTTCCTCACAGATGTCACGCCGAGCCTGGGACTCTGTGTCCAAGAGGCCATCTGCGGGCAAGCCTGGGGTGGGCTTCTGGTAAACCACTCCTGCCCTCGTTTTGGTGTCTATGATAGGGTGCCAGCACTTGTTGGGGAACCTCTGGGGTGCTCTGTGGATCCCTAGACTTCCAGGAGTGTGGTTGTGGTGGTGTTATGTGCCGTCAGGACAGAACCCACTCATAGCCGACCCTCCTATGGGTTCTCAGAGGCAGTTGGTTACTCAGGGGGAGATTGGCCATCTTTCTCCCACGGAGCAGCTGGTGGTGTCGACCTGCGTGCCTTCTTGGTACCGCGCAGCCTCTTGTCACTAGGCCACTGGAGCAGGGAGTGTGACACTCTACCTGTTTCCCTTCCCTCCTCAGATTGAGAAGCCCTCTGTGGGCCTTACTTTCACTGAATCAGAGCTACAGGGGCTTGTTTGTTAAAAATAGGCCCTACACACGCATTTGCTGGTGGCCGCCTTCACTCCTCAGGCTGATGCTGGGTTGCTAAGGTAAATATTTGGAGGAGGCTGAGGTTGGAGACAGTTCCATTGGGGGGGTCTCCTTGTTACCATTTGTGGAAGATGGTGGTGGATGAGGGAGGACCAGGCACGTATTAGAAACACTCTGGGTGGTAGTGCACTGGGAGAGTGGGAATAGTCCTAGAAGGCGGGACATGTAGGTTTAGTAACAATGGCTCAGCTATACTGGAAAATCACAGGATTTGAAAGCAGGCTGAGCAGAGTTCAAGCCATGAGTCCCCTCTTCACTGGGTGCTAGTCACACGACCTCTCTGACTTTCACTCTCTCCTTTGTAAACAAGGATGATGTCTTTATCCCTCCATCCCAAAGAGGGTGTTTGTAAAAGTGAAAAGTGAGCCAGCATGTGACAGGGCAGACCCACAGTTAGGTGTTCATTAGTATCAGTGACTACTCTGGTTTAACCTCAGCTTTTGACAGTGAACGTGGCATTGAGTTTAGGACACGGGAAATACACAGTGGCCCACGGGAAATACACAGCGGCCCCTCCAGACCTCTTTCCAGTGTGCCTCATATCTCACCTTTATTGGTCCCCAGCCACCACTGTGTCCTTAAATCACGTCAGCAGCTGCCCAAGAAGGGCTGCTTACTAAAGGCACACAGCCAAGAGGGGACTGTAACTGAACTTAAAATAGAGACATGTCCCCATGGTACCAGAGGCTGCTCAGGGCTGTGGGTGGCAGGCCAGGCGGGGTGTGGACACTGGACTGTGGGAGCTAGCCGACTTTCCGACTGGAAGAGCCACTCGCCTTTGCCAGGCAAGCCCACTCTCCTTGATGCAGGCTCCTGAGGGTATATGTCCTCGGCCTCCTGTCCCCTGTGCTGCCTGGCCTGAGACTGAGGGCCATTTCTCAAAGATAGAGGAAGTCTGAGGAGGAGGAGGAGGCTGGCCGCTGTGTGGGAGTTAGGGATCGGGCTGTAATCGTCGCCTTGGGCTCCCTGGGATTGGATCACGGGTTCAGCCTGAGCTGGTGTTGAGCTAGTTCTAGCCTTGGGCATCAGGAAGTAGAAGAGCTCTTTTAAGGATGGTGAGTGAGGCACTCCTGTGTAAGACGTCTGGAGAAGGAGCCTCAGGAAGAACGGACCGGACTGGGATGTTTAGTTGATCTTGTCCTTTTTTAACATTATGTGAGGATGTCCGTCTATCAGTGCAAACAGAGACTCAAACAGAGACTCAGTTCCAGGGGTAAGACCCACACCTTGAGGGCAGGAGCCCAGATCGGGCGATGTTGTTCCCCAAGCAGAGCTCTACTAAGTCTGCCTTTAAATTGCTCCTCTCCTCCACACAGGAGCCATCATGGACTCTGACCTGCATGGCTGACAGCCTCGGACAGTTGACGTTCCCATATTCTCTCTGGATCCGGGCAGCAGCACCCAGCCAAGAGGCGGCCGCAAGCTCACCATGGCTTCGAGCAGCGCGGAGGGCCAACTCCAGAGAATCATCCACGATCTCCAAGGTACGCACCCGCTTCCATCTCTCTGCACCACCAGCAGCAATTTACCGCTTTCATCTTTGTTCACAGTGGGGGCAGCTGGAACCCTCGGGACTCACCGTATTGAAATATCTGAGGCTCAGGTTTCTAGCCCGTGTGAATCTGGGCGAGCTCCCTCGGTTCTTTCTGGGTACGGCAAAGCCAGCTTGTAAACAAAACCAAACACCCCTTTCCTGGACAGGGTCTGATTTCAGTCTTTGACGGCCTGTTAAGTCCTTGGCTGTATCACGAGCCTGTTGGCAGCGATGAGTTAGCGTATTTGGTCGGAATATCCTGCCTTCTTCAAGCAGGAAGGCCGATACCTGGCTGGCTTCTTCTGCTGTTGCACCTGGTCTTGTCTAGCAGATAACCTGTTGCCGGTGACACACTCCAGTCCTGGGGCTCCTGTCTCCCAGACATCCCCGAATCCAGTGTTTCCCAGTGAGAGAGTCTCTGGCTTGTAGCCCTTTGTCTTGTTGGGAAAAGAAAGTCAAGGGCAGATGCAGATAAAACTTCATAGACTCAGGGGAGCTCTGGTGGCTTAGTGACAAGAAGGTGCACTGTAATCCTAGAGGTGCACTGTTCGAAACCACCAGATGCTCTGCCGAGGAAGGAGGAACAATCTCCTCCTGTACCAGTCAGATCTGATTTGACGGTACACACACAAAATAATAAAAAATAAATAAAAATTAAAAAAAAAACAAACTTCATAGACTCAAGATGAACCATGTTCTCCAAATTCTGAGGCCTGAGTTTCTCTCTTTCAAATGATAGCCAAGGGTCAGAATTTTGACAGGGCTGCCACACCCAACCCTCACAGATACCAGAGCCGATCTTGGGGGCCTCTTGGATGCTCTGGCCCTTTCACTGTAACACGCTCCAAAGCTGACCACTTCCTGCATGCCTGCAGAGCTCACGTGACACTTGGCTGGCAGTCCACAGGCCCCGCATCCTCACTGCTCGGGCACCATGGTGACCAGCAGTCTCTCATTCCAGTAGCCATCGGCCCAGCGAGAGCCAGAATACAGTCCTGGTTTTGAAGGTCAGAAGTCAATGAGATAAAAATCTCTTTCTGTGTCTTGTTACCTCCTATTTATAGCGTGGTGTCCCTCTAACAGCCAGTAATCCCGTGGCATTTGGTGTCTGCCCGGCACTGTTCTACATATACCTTATGGGCACCAACTTACTGAGTCCTCATGTTCGGGTTTGTGAGAGAAGTGTCACTGGTAAGCCTGTTTTTTTGTAGGTGAAGAAACAGGGAGAAATGATTAAGTCACTCTGCTTGTGACCACTCACCCCCCTGTCAGTGGCTCAGCCCGAGTTTGAATGTGCTGCTTGAAGCCAGAGCTTGCACTCCTAAACACCCAGTCTCTCCACGCAGCTAAAATGTTAGAGGTTTTTCTTGTCTGTTTTCATCTACATAGAGAGGAAGAGACAGTAAAATCAGAAGCCCTTGCAAATCAGAGTTTGTGACTGGCCTTCCGAGGTTTCTCCACAAAGTTGGCAGCCTCACCTGTGTTTCAGTCCCGTATCCTCAGGGGTTGCTTTGGGACGTTCCTGCCCTCAGGTTCCTTAACGGGAGGGAAGAGGTGGCCTGGAGATGGAGCTTCTGATCCAGGGAGAGATGAGCAGGAAGGGCTGAGCTGGCTCTGGAGAAGACAGGAAGGCCCTCACATCTGTTCAGTTAGCGTGTCCACCCTGGACACTAGGTAGGTCTCGTCAGCTCTGATTTGCTCAGGTGGTTTTGGTGTCTGATACTAGCCCACCGAACACGTGGCCGAGTGTTTTAAAAGTGTCCTTTTTCTCAAGGCCTTGTGTTTTCATGTATTGATCAGTGTTGTAAGAAGGCTATAATCTACCTCATCCGCCACTGGCGGTGCATGCCTACCTGAGGCATCGTGTGCTCTGTGCATCCTTCACACCTGTGAGGGGCGGCTTACTTACCTCCCCAGTAACAGCTGTTCCAGCGGCTTTGCAGCCAGGCTGACTTAGGGCTGGCTCCGACTCTGCCTCTTTTTTTTTTAAGTTTTTTTTATTTTGTGTTTATGTGTACCGACAAATCCGATCTGACTGGTACAGGAGGAGATTGCCCCTCCTTCTCCAGCAGAGCATCTAGTGGATTTGAACCGCAAACCTCTGAGGTTGCAGTGCAGCTTCTTGCCACTAGGCCACCAGAGCTTCCTCCGACTCTGCCTCTTAACTGTGCAAGATATTGGGCAAACCTCTAAGCTTTTCTAGGACGGTTCCTTTACATGCCATGAAAGTTTAATGCTAGCGCTCACTTCTCAAGATTATTGGGAGAATCATATATATATATAAAACTCAGCTGTGCTGCAATCCCAAAGGCACGCAGTTTGAATCTACCAGCCACTCTGAGGGAGAAAGATGGACAGTCTCCTCCAGTGCAGTTAACTGTCTCTGAAAACCCACTGGAGGGTCACCTGCAGGTCAGTTCTAAATCAACTTTGGATTATCAGAGATCGGAGTTGAAAATTTCATATTTCATGCACAAAGACTCTTTCAAATTATCAGACATTTCTAGATCAGAGAAACCTTGGTTGAACATCTTTATCCTGCTTGACAGCAGAAAAGGAGAGCGGTGTTTTTCCAGGATCCCATCCCCTGGCTCTCTTCCAGGCAGCAGCACGTTTTTAAGATTCTGTTCCAGCAACTTTTCTGCCATTTCCTGACGTTTTCCAAGAAGTCAGTGCTGACTAAATTTTCAGCCAGATTTGACTCACCTTCAATTCTAGGCAAGTGTTAGAGACTCCTTTAAAAAAAAATTAGTGATTGTCAGAGAGGACATTTTTATATAGGCAACTCAGCTGGGAAAATTTTTCTCTGTATCAGAACCAGATACAGGTTCTAACAGTTTCTCTCTACAGCAGGAGTAGTGAGTAAGGAGTCAAAAGGTGGCTTCTCCCTTTTCTGCACAGGGAAATAAGAGATTACAGAAATCAGGAGTTGGGCTCTGAGAAACTGGGATTCTTTTTCCAGCTGTTTCTTGCTTCCCGGAATCTCTGGCCAGCGGCTCTGCCTGCTCTAAGCACTCTTCGTCTGCAAAACGGGGGTGATGACACCAGGAGCCCGTGGATTCCAAGTTGGACTTCTTTTTGTTTGTTTGGTTCATATTTTAAGAGCTCTGAAATTGGAATACACCTTAAAATCAATTGCATTTAAGACATGTTAGAACAAGTTAGGCTCTGCTTCCCAGTATTAAGGCAGATGAGAAATACAGTAGATGTTCAGTAAACAAAAATGAATTCTTTTATTGACCAGCTACAGCCTTCAAGGAACCCCAGTGGCATAGTTTGCTACATGCTGCACCACTGATTTTGTTGTTAATGTGCCATGGAATCAAACTGACTTATGGATGATTCTCCAGCGAGTTTTCAGAGGCTATAAGTTGCAACAACAACAATAATATAAGTTGCACAGGAGAAAATTGTCCTTCTCCCTCCCTGAGCACCTGGTAGATTTGAACTGCCTGCTTTTGGGGTTGGTATTGCAGCTCCTTAACGCTAGACGACCAGAGCTCCCCCACTACGAACCAGCAGTTCAGATCCACCAGTTTTACAGCTTCAGTGCTTTGAAGGGTTGCCCATGAGTGGAAATCAATGCAGTGACTGTCGGTTTGATTAATGTTTGTAGATTGAGGGCTAAGTGGTGGGCATCAAAGCTTGCCTAAGACAGTAGTACCCTGGCAGTGAGCTGTCATCAAGGACAGATATGCCCTCAGGCTATCTTGTTCTTCTCTGACTTGGAGTTGTATTCCTTGGACATTTGCATCTAAGTTTCCAAGGAGCTTTGCTGTCAGTGACCACTTAGTTCTCCTACTTCACTCTCTAGTTAGTTACATGTTTGTTTGTTTGTTTGTTGTCTTAAAGATGCTGTGACAGAACTAAGCAAAGAGTTTAAGGAAACAGGGGAGCCCATCACAGATGACAGCACAAACCTGCACAAGTTTTCTTACAAGCTCGAATATCTCCTTCAGGTGAGTGATGGCTGTGAAGTGCTGCTTTGTGCTGTGCTGTCACGCTTCCCTCTTGGGCCGCTCATCAGCCTACAGGATGTGGTTCAGAAAGCTCAGCAGAGTCTTAAACCCTCATCGTTAGACTGAAGGTCAGAGCCTTCCCAGAGAGAGCTCATCCTGGGAAGCAGAATGTTATCTCTAGGCTGATTTAGCAAATCAAGAACATTCTTTAGAGGTTAGGTCACCTTAAAGCAGTCACAAAGTCACTGTGCAGCCGGGACCTTAATTTGTGGGCAGTCAGTCACATACACCTTTGAGGGGTTGGTGAAAGCACAGATTTTTCATCTTAAACAGGTATGTGTATGTGTACACACCAGTCCCCCACTTTGGCTGGTAATTTCTAGGACAGTGTAGACCCTCTGAAGATGACTCAGAGGTCCTGTGGTAGATCCTTGCCAGCAGCAGCAGCATCACCTGGGAGCTCGGAGCTCGTTAGAAAGAAAATCCCACCCTGAGCTACTGTGTTATCACTGGGGATGGACCAGGCAACTGCTTTCACAGACTTGTGGCATAACTTTTATGCCTGCTAAGGTCAGGAAGCACGGTTCTAGAAAACCATGTGCATGTGGAAGAGAGCATGCAACAGAAAATGGCAGGAATAACCAGGAACAAAATGTTAACAAATGACTTTATGGTGGTGATATAGAACATAACATTTTAAAAATTTTTCCTTTGATTCATCTAGATTTCCCATTCACATCTGTATGTATTATTTCTATAATCATAAAAATGGTTTTAAATATAGAAAGGTATACCTGTGCCGTTTGGAAAACCAGTATTTTGCAACCTCACATCCTGGAGAAGAGGCCTTACCTTGGTGAAGGGCGAGCCTTTCCACCTGGTTCTCTGTTGTACACTGTGAAATGTTTGGAGATCTTTTTTTCTCCCTCAATTAAGGCCTTTTTTGCTCTTGGTTGGAAATGACACATTGGTGACATTTGAGTTTTTTGTGTATTTATTTAAACAGAACATTGAAACCTAATATTGTTATATTTCATAATTGTGTGATCTTGAGTTAGTTACTTAGCCTCAGTTTCTTCATCTGTAAACAGGGAGTTAAAACATCCTCATTTTTCAGAATGGTCGAGGATGAAAATAATGCAAATACAGGGCTTAAATCAATGTAAGCAATTGCTGTTACCATTTAAAGGACAGGTGAACAACAGTGAGTTTAGAGCTCTTCGTGTTGTTTATTTTCTTCCCTTGTTTTTTGTCCCCTCCCTCCTCTAAATTTTGTTTATTCTTGTTATTGAGAATATACACCGCAAACCAAACATTAAGTGAGCAGTTTCCCCTTGTCCAGTCAGTGACATTGACTACAGTCTCTTGCTTGTGCTGGTTTTCTCACCCTCCCTTATCTCAATTGTTCCTCCCTCATAGAAACTCACAGTCCACCGTAGTCCTTCCCTCGCCTTTCCAGCTACTGTTGTCAAGCTGATCCTGTGCTGGTAGTTCTTAAAAGAGCATAATGCCCAAGGCTGACCTTTGTTATTAGTTGATTGAAACGATTGTTTGGTTTCCAGAGGATATGTCAGAGGACATATTTAATTTAAGGTTTAAAGTTTCTCTCAGGGCAAAAGTTTCAGGGATTCATCTGCATTTTTTGCCTCCAGAAAATTGGAATCCCCAGGAATTTGAAGTTCTGTTCATTTTCTCCATTGTGAGCAAGATTTCTGCTGTGGACTTTTTGATGACAATTTCAGTGAGGGTAGCTGGATACCTTCCAGTTCTAGAAAAGGAGACAGTTGCTCATAGAGACAACGAGGCCACACATTCCCTAGCCGCCTCCTGGCCCTGGCTCTCCTTCTGCTCTTGCCCCATGTGGATGGACACCCTTTTGTGCCTTGCATGACTGCTTTTGAGTTTATAAGACCCCAGGCACGACTCAGTGAATTAGGAGGTGGAATAGAAGCATTCAACACATTCAACACCCCGTTTAACTGGGGTGCCCTAGGAATCATGACCCTCATCTCTAGACCAAGAAACAAAATCCTAGGAGGTGTAGGATTGTACGTGAATACCATCAGCAGCCACTCTTTTTTTCTTTTTTGGTCATTGTTGTAAATGTATCTGTCACACAACTTTTTCCAGTTCAGCTTTTCCCAGCTCTATAGCTTACTCACAGCAGTTACAATAACTGGTGGTGTAACCTTACCCTGTATGTGATTTTTCTGGCACATTTAACCCTTCCTTCCTTGTGCTACTCCTGTCCCTAGAAACCACTAATAAACTGTGTAGATTTTCTAAACATGTTTGCCTTTTCTCGTTGTGTAAGGAAGGCCATTTAATATTTGTCCTTTTGTGATGGGCTTATTTCACTTAGGCCAGTGTCTGACTAAAGTTCCACCCTCTGCGTGTGGCACATTTTGTATATCTACTCATCCATTGACGGACAGTTAGGCTGCTTCCACGTTTGACTGCTGTGAATAATGCTGCAGGAAACACTGGTGTACAAATCTAATTTTGAGTCTCTTTAATTTTTTAAGTCTTTTTTAATATAGAGTTAGGAGTGAAATTACTGGATCATGTGATAGTTTTAGTTTTTTTGAGGAATCAGTGCACTGTTTTCTACACTGAACATACCATTTTTACATTCCTATCAGCTATGGATAAATGTCCCGATTTTCCTTTACCATCATTAATATTTATTGTTGTTGGGGTTGTTTTTTAAAAAAAAATTATTTTTTAAATATTGGGAGTGAAACAATATCTTTCTGTGGTTTTGATATCCCATGGACCGCCAGAAGAACAACAGGTAAGTCTTGGAAAAGTACGGCCGTGGTGTTCCTTGGAGACAAGATGACAAAGCTTTGTCTCATATACTTTGGACATATTTGCTAGGAGAGGCTGTTCCTTAGAGAAGGACATTGTGTTTGGAAAGGTGGAGGGTTGGCAAAAGAGGAAGGCACTCAACCAGATGAACTGACAATGAGATTGCAGCAACAGACTCAAGCGTTTCAGAACTGCTGAGGCTGGCACAGGATAGGACAGTGTTCAGATCTGTTATTCAGAGTCGCAGTGAACCATACTTGATGCAAGGGCTCCTAACAACAGTGATTAATGGAGGAACTCTGATGGCCTAGTGGGTAGGGAGATGTGTTGCCAACACAAAGACAGGCAGTTCAAATCTACTAGCTGTTCCAACCTAATTTTTTTTTTTTTAAGTTTTAATGCCTACTTAGGGAAGTTGGGTGGCCTATTTTATGATTGTGTTATTGGCTTTGATGTTGTTAATTTGTCTATATGTTATATATAGTTTGGTTATTAGATTCCTGTGGAATATTTGGTTTCTGAAGATGTCCTTCCAGTCAGTAGCTTATCTTGTCACTTTTTTGTTAAAGTCTTTTGAGGAGTACAAGTTGTTGACTTTTTTGTGATTCCTTTTGTTTCTTCAGGGTTTGGCTGTTTGAGCTTTTGTTGTCATATTAGAGAATCCATTGGGGAAAACTAGACCCAACAGAATTATTCTTGCTTATTCTTCCAAGAATTTAATGGTTTTAATTTGCATAATTAGGTTCTTAACTCATTTTTTTAAAATTTGTTTTGCCTCTAGCTTAAGGCATAGTGTGTTTAACTTTTCTGTGTGAGGAAAGCCAGTTTTCCTGGCAGCGAAAAGGGGTAAGAGAAGAAGCTCTACTCTTCCCATGAAATGGATTTAGTGCCCTTGTCACAAATCAGCCTGTTGTAAACGTGCGGGTTTATTTCTGTACTCTCATTTCTGTCCATTCATCTCTGTATCCTGTTACACCAGTACCAAGCTGTGTTGTGTTGTTATGTGCCGTCAAGTTACCTGCAACTCATAGTGACACTACGTATACCAGCCCTAAACCCTGCTCTATGCTGTCACAATCTTACTGTCTCTGATATACCTACATCCGTAATCACTGAATCAATCCATCTCTTGGAGGGTCTTCCTCTCTTGCACTGTCCCTCCACCCTCCCAAGCACGATGTCTCTCTCTAAGGACTGGTTGCTCCTTGCAGCATGTCCAAAGTATGTGTTGTTGTTGTTAAGTGCCATCTAATCGCAGGAGACTCATAGCGACACTATGAGGAAAGTATATGTAGCATGTTTTAAAATCATGAGATATGAGCCCTACTTTGTCCTTTGCTTTCAACATTGTATCAACTGTTTTGGGGCCTCTTACCATTCTATAGATCACTGAGGATTCATTTTTCTATTTCTGTAAAGAAGGCTGTTGGCATTTTGATCAGGATTATGTTGACCCCATAGATGGCTTTGGAAAGTAATAACATCCTAATAATATGAATTATTCCATTCTTACACTGTGGGTGGAAATGTGAAATGATGTAACCACTATGGAAAGTGTTTGGCATTTCCTTAAAAGATGAAAATAGAAATACCGCTTGATCCAGCAAATCCACACGAGGTAAATCTTAATTGGAACTGTGACATGAACAGATATGTGCATCGCTGTATTCTTTCAAAATTATTTGCAGCAGGAAAGGATTAGAAACAACAGCCTTTCCTGTGGAGGAATGCTAAAGAAACTGTGAAGTTTACACACAATGAAGAATCACACACTATTAAAAACAGTAAGGAATTTGTGAAACTCTTTACAGTGGGGAAAGAATTTCAATGAAATCATGCTGAGTGATGTAAGTCAGTCACAAAAGGACAATCACAAAGTAAGACCATTATTATAAAAAGCCAAGCAAAGATTTACATACAAAATCATTTATAGATGGTTATGAGGGAAATAAAAATTAATTAAAAAGGTAAGTTGGGCAAAGAGAAAGACACTATACAATAAAGATTGATCAGGCATAGTTAAAGTATGATTCATATTATAAATCAAAATGTATGAATGATTGAATAAAATAACAGTGTCATTTGTAAACTTTTACTCAAATATAAAATATATAAATAAGAACTCTTGAACCTGTGAAAATGATTGGTTTGAAAAGAATCAGTTATCTATTAAATTTAAGAGATAAAATATAAATAGGTACTTTGTACCATAAAAAAATAGTATGTCTTTCAATCCAGGAACATAGACCACCTTTCCATTTGTTTGTCTGGTCTCCTTCAGTAAGTGTTCAAGAATGGTGTTCCTCCAATCTTAATGTAGTCTTCTTCTTCTTGGTTTCTTTGCTTAACTAATAGCAAATGACTCTTTTAATGGGCTGTTGGATTCTGTTCTTTCTCCAGTTTGATCAGAAGGAGAAGACTACCCTCCTGGGCCACAAGAAGGATTACTGGGATTACTTCTGTGATTGCCTGGGAAAAGTGAAAGGAGTCAGCGACGGCATCCGATTTGTCAAGTCCATTTCTGAGGTGAGCTGAGCACATCAGCCAAGGACCACACATCTCCTCACCTGCCTCAAGCGTCTTTGCAGTGACCTTTACTCACAACCACAGAGTGAAGAAGGGAGGGTTTATGGGTGACTGGCAGGGAGCACTGCTCGGTTTGAGGGCAGCAAGTGGGGAGCACTGGTGGCCTAGTGGTAAGAAGCTGTGCTGGCAAACATAACGCACGTAGTTCACGTTCACCAGCTGCTCTGTGGGACAAAGGCATCACCCAGCCTCTGAAAACCTGCTGGAGGATCTGCCGTGAGTCACTTCCACCTTGACAGCATCTAACAACAACAACAATATAGATGGCAGAGAAGTGACGTCCAGCTCCTCAGTGCCCCTTCACCTCAGGGAGAAACCGCATTAATGAGCATTTCCCCAGCAAAGGAAGAGCTCAGTCTTGAGTCGGTGCACTACACCTTGCCCCATAGTCTGCCTGAGTGGAGAGCAGTTCACATTACAACCTTTGTTCTTCATGATGCCTCCTCCGGGGTGAGGTGGGTACAGCTCAAGACACCTCTGCTTTCTTTTCTTTTTCTTAAGAAAATCTCTTCCCTGAACGAAACTCTTCAAGTTTGTTTCATTGCTGCCCCAGAAGTTTGGATTTAAAAGATGTGATGCTTATCTTTTTTAAAAAAATTAATTTTAATGAAAGTTTACAGAGACTTAGGGTTTCTAGTCATTCATAGTTGCACTTTTCTCCCTTCCCACTCCCTACCCCCAATTCACTTTTCTCTTTGTTGTGTAAAAGAAAAATTCTTTCATTGCTATGCAGTCCCTCCTCCCAAGTCCACTGCAC